GGGGAATGTCAACAGGGGCCAAATGTGGAAGAACTTGAGAGGAGGGCGTGGAGAATTCCAAGCGTTGGCCAGCTGGATACAATATAAATATAATATTATGTGATGCCCAACATGGCTTTCGTCCAGGGCGCTCCTGCCTAACGAGTGTTCTTTACTCGCACGAGAAATGGACACGAGCTACCGATAAGGGTTTTCGAGTGGATGTCATATTTTTTGACTTCAAGAAGGCCTTTGACAGTGTCCCACACAGGCATCTTTTACAGAAGATCTGGGATAATGGAATACACGGAAGAATGCTCAAATGGATCAGAATTTTTCTCTTCTCCAGAGTACAACGAATCGTCTTTGGCAACTCTATGTCGGGATGGGCAAAGGTGGAAAGTGGTGTCCCACAGGGTTCTGTCTTAGGCCCAGTACTCTTCCTGATTTATGTTAATGACTGCATCAACGAAGTGAATTGCGAGTACCTCATGTTCGCGGATAACATAAAAATATGGAGTGAAGTCAAGTGTGATGATGACGCAGAGAAATTGCAGTCGAATATCGACAAACTGTGTGCTTCGTCGAACAGATGGCTTTTGAAGTTTAACGTGCACAAATGCGTAGTCTTGCACATGAACAACGACCGCAATGCCTCTCCCAAACACCAGTACTATATTGACGGGACGGGGTTAGAATTGATGGAAAGACACAGAGATGTGGGTGTATGGACGACCACAAATCTATCGCCATCAGAACATTGTGGAAAGATGGTCCAGAAGGCAACTAGTACTCTACATTGGATCAGACGTGCATTTAAAATATTTCCTCCCGAACTCTTTGAAAGCCTCTTTGGTGTCTTTGTTGGACCTCATCTGGAGTATGGAATGCCAGCAACTTCATCATGAATGAGGAAGGATATCGACCTACTCGAACAGTTGCAACGCAGAGTGACAAAGATAGTCGACGGTCTAAAGCATTTGTCTTATCAGGAGAGGCTGAATTTGCTTGGCCTATTCCCTCTCTTTTATAGACAAATAAATTACAGTCTACTTTGGACGTTCCGGATAGTCCGCGGACAGGGTTGCTCATTAAGAGCAGGGGACGTCTTTGAGTTTGCCCGTACAAACCAACTGCGCGGCCATACCTACAAAGTCGTGAATGAGCGCACGCGCTTAGATCGTCGAATATTTTCATTCAGCCAGCGGGCCTTCTGACTGTGGAACTCGCTTCCAAGCGAGATGGTGACGGCCGGCTCAATTTGTGTGTTTAAAAGAAAACTTGCTCGCCTAGTTTTCGACAACAGGAGTATAAAACCCCAGACGACTCCGGTGGATCTCCTGAGACCTTCAGCTGACAAGGTCGCCGGAAACAGAACAACTGAACCCCTGGATCGTCAGCACTGCGTAGTCGTTCAGGGCCTATCGGAGTCGAATGCTCC